AGCTATGGGTGATGTGGCTGGAGAAAAGGGAAGGCTTATGTTGGTGTGCCTTATATTAACAGTTGCTAAGGTTGATACATCCCTGTCCATAAACATTTAACAAAAACGGTGAATAAATACAATTTTTTTTTAGAAATAATTATAATGGTTAAAAAGAAAGGAACATTCACAAACATCATAAACCAGCAAGTGCTCAATTAAACTATTACATTTTTAAAAATGAAATCTCTCTTAATTTACAAATGTGGATGTAGTTTAAATATGAGAGACGATTTAAAAAAATGTAATAATGAAACCATTTTTTTCCTCAATGTCAGTATAATAGAAAGCTAACGTTTTACGAGATTCTTTATTGTACGGTTAAAAAGGTGAAACATTTAAATTGTCTCTAAGCAACTATTAAAATCCTATTGCAGCTTTCAGTGCGCCATTTACTGTAAATATATATAGCTGTTTTTTTTTTTGTAATGCACTATTATCGAGTACATTGCATGTTTTAATATACCTATCAATACAGCGTCATATTAATAGATGTCTAGACTCTTAAAACGACCTTTAACGTGCAATTGAATGGCGATGACCAAATTCTACGAGACTTATATTGTAAAGTGATCTTATAAATCATGCTGACCGACTGCAAAAAAAAAAAAAAGGCACTTGCATGCCAATCCATCAACCTCCTAGTCAGATTTTATCAGTATTTTATTTTATAGAATTTCCAAACTTTGACACAAAATTGCTCGTTATAGTGTAAAACTTCGGTGTGCAAAAAAGTATGGCAGAATTGATAGAAAAACAATAAACAATTTCGAAGCTTTTATTATTGCCCAACTGCTGCATCCATACCCCTACGGGACCATAAGCTCATTACTATGTAGAATGTAGACCATAATTTAAGATTAAACCTTAGCCAAATTCAAACAAGTGTGTTATGCAAAGATAATTTTTTTTCTGATATCAATGATATTAGCGATTGCGTCATGCAAATTTTCCGGGGTAAGGGATTTTCCGAACTTATCTATCTCGACGATCTATTTGTTTTGTTTGTTTTGTGTAAGGCACACACAATCCTAATAACATAGGTATGTATCTTAATATACATTTTTGTTCATTTAAATATTTTTTTTTTTTTAAATTACAATTATGTAACTTAAAAAAAAAAAGACTTCATTGAACATGTTTCCATGAGTTGAAATTTTGATTTTATAATGTTATGTAGAATTAAAATGACTTATTGACGAGTAATTAGTATTTTAAGAAAATGTCACATTGAAAAATAAAGATAATTTAAATTTATCACATACAATGGCGTCACTAAGGCTGTACGGTATACAACTAGTGTTATCACCACCATACTTCCTCAAGGGCCTACTCTGAGTCTGCCTGGCTAATGGAACACTTTTCTGGTGTAAACCTGCTCATGTGGCACATTGAACTGCTGTGATTCTTTTGTGGTGTCACATTGATCTGGTGTGCACTTTATCAATTGGCACGCTGTTCTCGAGTGGACCTAATGTGGTGGCACACTGTTTTGATATACACCTGATCTGATCGCATACTATTCTGATGTGATCCTGCTCTAGTTTCTACTTTTCTTTGGTGTGTACCTGATCGGGCACACACTGCTTTTATATTTAACTTAAATCTTCAATGAAAAACTTTATTGTCACATTATTTCAAATTATTTATTTTATATTTATTGTTGTCACACCCATGTAACTTGTTCCCTTTACCTTGAAACCCTCTTATAACGCAAGTGATTGCATAGCAATTTAAAGACATAATTTAATTTTAACACTTTTCACAAATGATGTTTGTTACTGATGCAATTAAATTTTTCAATATTACGAGGTTGATGTACTTAGTTATTTAATTTATCTCGTTAAACATAAGAAGACCCTCATTGAATTTAATAGTCGAATATGTATTGAACTATTTGGAAAAAAAAATGTTTAAAATAATGTTTAAAACAACTTATAACAAGAGCTCATTCTCTATAGTAGGCCAATTATATTAATTTTTTAATCGACTTATTTTAAACCTAACACAGATACTAAATTCTAAGATATATACATGAATGAATATATTTAGTATTCTTCACACCTTAAAGTTAACGATACATCATTTAAATTACAACGTCTATGTCTTTTTCAATTTTATGATTTTCATCAAACTAAAATCTAACAACAACAAAATTATGTTGAAAATTAGGCTGCGGATATGTTCTTAGTAATATCATTTGACCCACCCTGGGCACATTAAGTCATTTTTTTTAACCACTTTGTCATTTTGAGAAATCCTTTAAAATATTTTTTTTTCTATATCTCACCAATGCATTATGCCAAAATATATATCCGTAATTCTTACTAGGAGGATTTACCCAAAAAAACATACAAAAATAAATCTTTATATTAAGTAGGAATTTTCTTTTCAATATTAGTTACCATTCCCATTTTAATTTCTGACACCAGTAAATTTGAAACAATAAAAAAATGTATTAATAAAAATATAAATTACATCTTTGTCAATTTTATATATTTTTTTAAACTATTAAAAGTAGTGTCATCGTATCAAAATTGTTGATAATTTACAATCTTCTTCTGTAAGGGGAAAATACCTTTCTGGTCTGGTTCTGGTACGTTGCTGAATGTACTGGCAAATGTGCAACGTTTGGGGACGCGATGCTGCTATACTAACGGCTGCTAGCGGATGCCAAGGCATCCTTGAAGCTTTTGATTGATTTCGAGTCCACAGCGGCATTGTCCAGGTGGTTACAGGCGATTGTTGTGAGTGGGAAGAATGCTTGTTTATTTGGGACTATGTTGCACAGAGGCACAGTGAAGCATTTGCTATTATTCCAGTTGTAATTGCTTATGGGGTTGTTAGAGGTGAAGTCAGTATATAGTGAGCGTTTGGCGATGATTAATCCACCTGTCTGTTGTTGGGTGAGATACGTGTTTGCTGGGATGACCGGCACTAGCCCCAAGACCACTTTATATACGAATGTTAGGCGGAACTTTTCTTGGCTGTCTTTAAATTAATAAAACTGAATATAATATTATAAAATATGGCAAAAGTTCATGTATCAAGGATTTAGAATATGTTTAACAATTCTTTTCTTATCTTCATTCAATCCTATGAACCTTACAGAAAGATAGTAAGTTTATTATAAATTGTCTATTAGCATTATATATTGAAAAAAATATAAAAGTTTATCCACATTTATGTGTGTTAGGCTAATTAGAAGGGAATTTTAAAAAAACAACAACAAACAAACAACTTAATGTTATTTTCTCTAAGGCTATGATAATTAGTTTCATGATCATTTATGTAATTGCTGTCTTTGCTATATCAATAAGTTATTAATGGCAATTGTGGATTTTCTTAATTTAGAAAAGAAAAAAAAAAACTCTTTTAAATTTTTCTCTTGATGAAATTTTGTATATTTTAAAGCATAAAATTGTCTCTAGATATTTGCAAGTATGTAATTTAAAAAAAAAAAATGATTTTTTCGTGTGAAATGGTAAGTTCAAAAAATATTGTGAACTAATTTTATTAACATCTGTTTTATATATTAAAATTAATTATGTGTTTACGCTTTTTTTGTTTAAATCCGTGTGTGTGTTTATGTTAATTTTAGTTTTTAACAAAGTAGTTTATTGAAAGAAGAAATTAAAATAAAAATATATATTGAAAATATTATCTCTCTTTTTTATATATATGTACACATCAATTGTAAACTCTATGTTAATTAACAAGAAGCATCGATCTCTATTTTAAATGATTTAATTGTTAATTTATATACACGTGTTTTGTGTTTATATAATTCATGGGCTAAAACACACGTTTCAAATAGGACTCATCCCCTGCTCTAGCGTTAAACATAAACTCATCCCTCTCCCTCTAGACAGCGGCGAGGCCATAACAGGCAGTTCCTGCATTTAACAGCAAGAGCCATATACAGGAAGAATAATTCATGCCATAGACAATCGGGACTAACAAGCTTCCTATAGTTATCGTTGAGACGACACCACTTGACACATTTGCGTCTATTGCCTCAAGCGTTTTAACCATACGTTCCTGATAACATCGCTGTGTAGTCTTTACAACCAGTGAAATATCCTCCAAAGTATCAGGCACAGAAACATCGGGAATCCCCTCTACATACATGTGATCCAGAGTTATCAATACATTAATCTTGTGGCCTTAAGATATAGAAGAAGAATTTAGAGAAAGGTGGTGATCGCATGAAAAGTAATCATTTGGAATATCATCATTATAATGATTAATGGCACATAAACAGTTAATTGTGAAGTATTAAATTTAATGTTAGAGAAAATCTATTTTATTATAATATTTAAAAAAAAATAAATAAAGTCATTTATTGTTACAGAGCTGTGACTTTTGAAAATGATTAGTACTATATTGTTTCTCATTTTGACTGTAGGTGTAGGTGAGTATTGTACACATTTAATTTGCTTTTTTATAACCGAATTAATAAATTTATAATTTTGATATATATTCAATTCATTAAAAAAGCTGAAATATCTTGAATGTAAACAAAGGAAACCAAGAGCTAACCCTAAACTTTGGCAGGAAATTAACTGCAAGCGATGGGGGCCTACTTTTCAAACGTATGCAGCATCATTGCCATAAATGGTAGACCCAAAGTGGGTGTAAGGGCTAGAGCAGGAAAGCCTAGATTAGCATTTGTGCTATTAAAGAAAACATGGGAGTCAAATGAGCTGCAGAATCAACACAATCATCAAAATAGTTCTATATATCGAGCAGAAATTTGAAAAAAAACAACAAAAGGGACCATTAGGTAGAAAGTATATAACATCATAAACACATGTTTTAGAAAGATCCTGAACATCAAATGGCTAAATACCATCGCCAACAAAAGCCTATTTAAATGGTCATACCAGATACGTAATAATGAAGACATTATTAGAAAAAAGATGGAGTTGGATAGGGCACACTCCCAGATACCCACAGGAAAACATCATCATAAAAGAAAGAGCAGAAGGCCAAATATTACATTGAAACGATAGATAGAAGCCAACACAGAAAGTATGGAACACACCTGGAAACAACTCGGAAGGACATTACATGACCGTGATGAAATAAAAATTATTGTAGGTGGCCTATGTCTCAGGTAGGGTAAGAGGTAAAAGAAATAATGTAACACTCAAATGTTAATATTTACAAATATCTTTTATATTAATTTTTACATGTTTTAAACGTTCATTTCTTCAGTTATTTTTTGTAATGTATGTCATCATGTGAAACTCTTTGAATGAAGATAAATCAAAATGATTTCATATTTTATTGTATTTTTCCGTTGAATTGAAGTTCTGTTTTCAGCATTCTTAAATTGTCAAACGATAACCCTAAATGACTACAAGCAAGAAGGCAGTACATCAGAGTGCACACATGGGCTTATCAGTGATGTGGACGTCGTTTTGTTCAAATGTCTTATTGATTATTCCCAAGATACGGAACTGGAATGGGTTATTTTCCAAACAAAGAGAACCTCTACAAACAGATTTATGTTTGTAAGTTCTGAACAAAACACTTTCCTGAATATATATATATATATTATTATATATATCTAAATAAAACATTTATAGCTTAAAGCAAGTTGGTTTGTAAATTATGACTAAGCATACAATTCTCGAATAAAACATCGATTTCTTAGACAACGTTTGTCAACTATCAAGTATACAATTTATTCTGAATAGAAAATACGCAATAAGTTTTGTCAGAGATAAAAAGTCTTCTGCAAATGATATTTCTTACAAAGATCCCATTTTAAAGACTTTTAAAAAAAAATGCATAGTCCTTTATATTAAACAAAAAGTGTGCCTGACACGGTTAAACTCTTTCTACCAGCATGGCACCAAACAAGTAATTGTGAAAAGGCTACCGTTTTAATATTTTGTTTCTAATTACCAACTTTTTATAATATTAGCGTTCACATATAGTTTACTGACTTAAACAGTTCGCTTTATATCTTTAAAATAGCATGATTTAAACCCTGTTGTAACTCGGTAATCTAGAAGAGAAATAAATGATGCATCTATAAACAAAAAATATTCAATTAAAAAAAAAAACAAATCAAATACATTTACTTTTTTTTTTTATTTTTAGCTAGTTTTTATATCAATAAGTCGAGATCTTCCAAAAATACTGTGATCAAAAATGTTAAGATGTATGTCTTTTAATTATAGAAAACAAAAAAATTAAATGAAATCTACAAAATCTTCACCAGTCAACAAGATCGTTGGTACACATATTTGATAAAAGATATAACTACAACATCCCAATGATGCACATTAACGGGACCTTCAGAACGGTCAATGATAGCGTACCCAGGAGATATTTGTACAATGATCTACACGAATTTGTAGTATCAACAAAAAAACAACAACAAAGAACTTCCGGATTAAATTGGTGACAGCTTCTAACTTTGATTCAGAGAAGAAATTTAAGATTGTTTAGATCTAAATGAAGCAAACACGTACTACATCGTATTGCGATAGGTATAAACGTTATAACTTCAAATATTTTATTCCAAAAAAATTACTACTTAAACAAACCCTAAAAATAAAGTTTATGACATTATTCCTTTATCAAATTTATATCAAGCAATACATGCATGAAGGCAACGAACTTTATAAAAATCCAAGTTATTGCTCCCCAACGGTCATAGCAGCCGATTCTTTTCACTCTCCTGAGTTGTCAGGAATTTTTATTTTGTCTTTCAATTGAGAAACATGCAAAACTAGATTTGTGGTTGCGGGTTAGGGGGTTGAGGCAAATACAACATAATGTGTCGTAATTGGCAACGAGTCTATGGGCTAAGTTTCTGCTCCGTGTGTTAACGGAAAGTTGGTCAATTTTGTGTCCTTTCATTTTCAAAAGATTTAAATTCAACAAAGCCTCAAAACAAAGTTGTCTGTACACTCTCATTGCAAAATGTGATATCGCCCAATGAGTTTTGGGCTGGTAATTTTACTCGACATGAAAGAATACATTTAAAACTATTTGTATCGATCCCATTTAGTGTTCCCCAAAGCATGTAATAACACAATCTTTTCAAGCATTTACATTATTAATTTTCAAATGAAACACCTGCTTTTACACTGCAGATCTATCTAACAATCTTTTAATAAAAAAATAATTAAAAAAAACAAAAACAAACGAACTTGAAATTTAAAATCAAAATGAAATATATCATTTAGCCTAGTTATCGATCCGGGATTTTATTATATCATACCTTGAAAAAAAAAAAAAAAAGCAAAACTATATTGGTGATATAGGGCTGAAAAATGTAAAGAGAATCATTAGCAATGAGTGTATGAGCTAAGTTTCATCTCGATGGGTTTAAGCGAAGAAAGTCAATTATCAAACCGACGATCTTGCCAGTCCGCCTCCATGGTGATATAATTTATTTTAAAAGCATTATCACCTCAAGGAATACTAAGAAAACAAGGAACCGTTTATTTTAACAAAGCTAAGGATTATCGAATTTTCAGTTATCTGTTTCTCTTGCAAAAATGACTTAATTTCAAAACATTGGAATTAGACGTGGTATTGTCATTCGTAGGTTGAATTTTGGTAGAGGCAGCTAAATTTCTGGTAAAAATGTTTTTTAAAATGAAAACGGTAGACAAAATAATAAAATCTGAGACCTTTTACGATTTTATAAATATTATCTCTTAACTAGATGTAATAAACATTTAAAAATGTATTTGGAAAACAAAAAGGGGTTTACAACTGTATTAGGAGAAATCTACGAATGGCACTAAAAACCAACCAAGGGCGCGTTATTTAAACAAAGGAAGGTTGCCCTGGGTATGACAGCACTAGAGGGTGGCAGGACAGGATGTTTAACGACAGAAACCAAGGAGCAGATGGCTCACAGGCCGACAAATACACAAAAGTATTGATGATGTATGGACGTATTTATTTTAGCTAGGGTCCGATTATTAAGAAAACGTCATGACTCAATCTAAATGGTAGGTTCTGGTCAAGCTTGTCAGAAAATCCTCTATGCTGTTGTGACATTAATGAAAATTACTTTGAATTTGTATTACAACTCAATATTTATGACTACAGATATACTGAACTTTTAGCTACATGACAATATGCTGTAAATGTTTATATTGAAGTTCGCACATCTATTTTCAAACATACTTGCTTTCAAATTAAATATATTAAGGCAATAAAAAGAGATGAGATAGCATTAAAATTGTAAAACAAATTTCACTATTATTAAAAGAACATACCTTTATTTAAAAAATAATTATTACAGCTTACTGACTGCAATATCAAAGAAGATTGCAAGAACTCGGTACTTACAAATGGCAGCCACGTCGACAGATTTCTCATAGAGATAACAATCACGTTAAAAGCAACAACATCTTATAGCTTGGCTAAATTACGAGGCCTGATTTATACAACTGACGACAAGGAAGTAACAAGTAGTGAGAAGATATTTCCATAAATATCAGGTAACAAGTAATTTATATGAATGGTCTATATTTCACTATAGAATTTGCTCACATATATAAGAAGTAAATATATATGTTAACAAATGAAACTAATACAATTACAGATATCTCCAATGCACCTGGAGAGCTTATGGTAAATGACATAGAAATCACAACATCAACAGAATGCCAAATGGTGATAAATATACCAACAGTAAATATTGTATTTCTTTGCGAAAGCGGTGTTTTGCCTTGTTTGATAGAAATTTCCACGAATGAGTCTACTGAGATAGTAAAAGGCAAAAGACGCATTATATGGAACAAAGAACATATTTCTCAACGGGAAGTTAATCTACAAATTAAATATGATGTCTGTATGTTAAAAGAGCACTTTCCAACGGTCAGCTGTAAATTGATTATAGAAAAGCCAATGCTAATTACAGTGGGTAAGTCAAATAGACTCCAAAATTATATTTTTCTTTTTTGTTACTTGATTATTTAAATTATATTTTTTTTTCATTAAGATGGGTGATATACGGATATCAAATGCACAACAACTAATGACATAGTCCTTAGAAGCTAGAGAAACCAGAATAAGGCTTGAATGAGAGTTAGAAGAGTTTAAAGTTAAAGCTAAATTACATCCTTATCTTTCAGGGGGTTCAATATAATTATAAAATTTATTGAAGGTTTTTACTAAAATAAAAGGATTTGAAAATTATATTTTTTTCAAAACACATTAGAGCATGAAGAACAAAAATCTTTCTACCTTACAATCATATGGATACTTGCTACGGTAAATGCTATTCTGATAACATGCTGGTAAGTTCATATCTAGAATCGTTCAAGATCTTAATTGTATTCCAAAAAAGTTGTTTTTTAATTATAATTTAACTTTAAAAATCAAGATATAATATACGTTTAAAAAAGAAACACACACACAAACACACACACATTATTCGAATAAATTAATACGATTATCAGTGATCAGAATTTCTGCCTTTAGAACAATACAAAATACGCACTCATATGTATCGAACAAAACAATTTACCTATTAATTATTAAACCAGCATAAAATCAGCTTAATACGTGCAAACGAAAAGTCATCGTCAATAATATACGGAAATGAATAATTTTTGTTAAAAGAATGCATTAGTAGTCTATGTTCTTAAGACTGATTGCATAAATATATTTTTAAAATAAAGCTAGCTGCAATAAAATGTTACCAGTCATTATACGATTCCTATCAAAAAGAGTACTGCTGAAGATGTATAATGCAATCAACAAACATTTCCATTTTTTTGGATCAATAAAGAATGGTATATAATTTATCTTATGTTATCTTAATAAAAACTAAATTTTTCAAAATAGTTATATTTATATTTATTCCTATACTTGTGCAGCATATTTGTTTGTTTTTAATTGTATGCATTTTTTTCATTGTTTTTATGCACTAAGACCGAGTTTTTTCCTTAAAAAGCAATACACATTTTTAAAATCATGAACAAATAATATATATATGTATATTTTTTGTAGAATGTAAGTTGTTTATAGGAAACATTTAGGCTATTGCGCTTTAATGCTTAACTAATCGTTTTTTTTTATTTTAGCTTATTACTACTGTTAAAGGTAAAGCACAAGGTAAACGTCATTATATACTGTTCTAGTAATATGCATATATTTAAATATTTCATGAAGAAGAAGGAACTTCTTCTAAGGTACCAGTGATTAATTTTGGACAGCGCTTGTCTAGTCTAAAAATATCTTGTGCTTAAAACAATGGAAGAATGACAGAATAAAATGCTTTAAAAATAATTAAACTTGTTATACATTTTTAAAGATCTTCTAAAAATGTTATTTCCGAAAATGTTTTGGACTTTTCTTAGCTGTTTCCAAATGATTTACCCTAAACGCTCATTTCAACCTAATTTTTTCATGATTAAGTTGACTCATTTTTACTTTTAACCTCTAAACACTGTCTTATTTGTATGATCTAAAAATTACCATTGTTTATTTTTATATTGATTATAAATAGGTTAATTTTATAAATAGTACTGCTACTAAAACGGTTCAAAATTTTTATTTGGCATACAAATACTTTTTATTTTTTTTAAAAAAATGGTTAAATGTTTGAAAAAATATATTATGATAATATACTTTGATTGATGGATATATTATATGTGTTACAATCGTCATTAAAGTGTTATCAATATTTTAGAAAACAAATTAATGAACTGATTTTATAAACGTAAATATGATCAAATTGTAATTATATTGTCATTTTTTATAACTTTTTACCTTTTATTTTTAACCTTTAGCTGTGTCTGTCTTTCTTCGGCAATAAAGCATATATTAGATTGCTATTGCATAATAAAGAAACGAATACTACTGCCACAGATTCTGAACGCGTTTTAAATGTTCAACTTGAGGATACAATTACAGAAGATGGTAACTTATACTAAGATAAGATTTTTTGTGTGTAAAATATGATATTACACATAAGTAATTTTACAATACAAATAAGTAAATATTATAACGAAGACCACAATTTAAAAATAAGAAAAGTTGTTAACACTGTTGATCGATCTAAATTTTCAAAAAAAAACAAATAGAGATAATTCTAAAGATATATGCATAATCTTGTAACTTTAACAAAGTTTGTATAAATATAAATGATTTTTTTCTTAATTGCTATTATTTTTTTACTTATCGCTAGTGAAAAAAAAAAGGTTATAAAAGTAAAGCAATAAATATAATATATATTATGAGACTTTCATTGAAACTTCCATGTTATCACAGTTCATTTAAATAGTAGGCCTATAGTTTTTTTTTTCAAATAACTAATTCACATTTTTTGACGATTAAATTTTCGTTTATTTGTATTGTTTCATTATAAATTTTATTGAAGAACGTTAATAGACTAATCCTATTATACCCCGGAATACTAAAACGGGAATTCAATTTTAAAAAAAAAATGACTGACGGGAAATTATTAAAGCAGGCAACGTATACTTTTAGCATAAGATATTTGAGTTTGACCAACTGGGGCTTAAATTCTTTTATGGTTTTCTGTAAATACATAAGTTCATTCTAAACCATAAATGAATGCAAAATATTTTGGTACAATTATTTATATATATATATAATTGCATAACTAGTGAAACCTTTTAGAATAAATTTGTTTTAACCCCCTTTTATATCAAATAATGTGTTATTTAGAAATGCTGTTTCATTATGTTTTTTTTTTAAATTATAAAAAAAAAACACAAGTGTTTTAATATATTTGCCCGGGTGCTCGATGATTATTATAGCACATTATTGTATTATTTTTTTTTTAATTTCATATCTAAACACCAATAAGTGTAATGTGAATTTCTTTTAATTCACAGAGACAGAGACCAATAACTTAATGGACAACGTTACAACTTGTCAGATTAATGAAAGCCACGTAAACTTGATTGCTATTGACGATTTCACAAAAGAGCACCTCCCTGACTTTTATCAAAATAGTGATATTTTAAATTTAGTTAAAATAGTCACTGATCTTACCGTAAAGGTAACAGTCCGTTACATCAGTCGGATACTTTCCCTGGTACATGCCGACGACACCAATTTCATGATAAAAGGGGAGATATAGTAACCACTTGTTCGGAAACAGCCGGAAGTCTCTGTACTCAGCTCTCACCTGTGGTTCCAAGAAGCTGTAACATGCACAGCGACTACAACCCAGACAACGATTCCAGGTTGAGGGTAGCCGAAGGACATAGAACTTTCGGAAAAAGGGGTTGTCCCCCATAGCATGTAAAGACTGAATCCGGCAAATTGTGCGGAAGAACCACTACTTGGTCAACGGACAAAAGGCGGAGACAGCACAGTGGTGTGAATCGCTGAGAACATGACCAGACACGTAGAACGCCATGGTCATTCACTGCATGGGTGACTATGGGTGACTGGGTGGCCGAATGGTCTAAACTGAGCAAACCTCAATTTCAGCCAAAGGCCGGTCAAGCAAAAACATCACCCCGGGTGGATGAGACTCGTTAACCTTGGTCGGCAACTCATCTAAGAGAAGGAAACTCTAAATTCAAACCCGGAGTTGGAGTCCAGTAAGGCGCATACAATGTCAATTCCTGCAACCGTACCCATCCCTGGTCGTCTTGACGTAGAGTCTTGCCACTGGATATGGTGGGCTCGGGCGAGAGAGTGAGGTTGACGCTGCGCAATTCTTCCTCACTTTAAACAAAAGTCACCCGCGCAAGTCATCAGTCACCAGACGACTCGATGGTCATCGTCGATCCTCAACGGACGAACAACACAGTAACCACCAGATTTGGAATAGGATTTATAAAATGTGCTGTTAAGATCCCAGAGGAAGATGTCAAGAAATGTGAATGTCATAAATGCAAAAACTCTAATGAGGCTAAAAAAGAACGAGGAAAAATATATATTTGCACTGTCAAAACTCTGGTGTTTGATGATAGTGAGGCTGCAAAGACAACTTTTAAACTTTCTTTTAGCCAAGACAACGGATCTGATTATCAAATTGCTGGTTTGTGTGTGACACAATCTGACATTAACGATAATAAATGTCTTGTTGAATATCTTACATGCGACGAAGGTCTATTAATTTGTTTGTTTTTAAAAACCAACGATATCGTGAAACAAATTACTGATGTCAACTCTAAATATTTTCTAGACGTAAAGTAATAGACAGTTTAACGATAAGTGCATCCCATCCAGACAGATGGCGGAAACATATTTCAATTGGCGAATTGGCCGACCGATTTACAGTTTAAACTGACGAGTCCATACACAATTTGCTTACACAACACATATATGCCCAGGTTGTATCGGAGCTTTTCTTTACATTTGGTGAGGCTAGTGATACAACTTTAACACTTCACATGCACTGTGGAGTTAATGATACATTAAACAGTGTTAGTGAGGTTGATAATGAGAACATATGTATTAAATCTAAGAAACTTTAGAAAAGTCAATAAAAAAATAATTGCCAATATAGCTTTGAAATTTTTTTGTTAATTTCAAAGGATAAATTTATATATAAATGTTTTTTGTATAAGTAAATCGATAGAAAAGGAACAATAAATCATTGAAACTTCCTATTTTAGTTTATTTTAAAATATATTCCTAACAAATATGTGGAAAAAATTAGTTTTGGATTATTTTTAAACATGTTTTTAACCTAAAGGTTTTGTGTAAACACACATCATATTTAAAAAAAAATAATTGCACACTGCTTTTTTATTTTTTGTTGTTGCTGGTTTACTCTGTACATTAGGGCAAATATGGTTTGTAATCGTAGATTTAAAGGAAAGGTGAAACATTTTTTTATATTTTTAACTTCTAAAAAATACAGAAATTTATCTTCTATTCAATTCAAATGTATGACATATAGAAGACATAATGCATATTTAATTAAATGTATTTGTGTTGTATCGAAAACTTTGATAAAATATTAATTGTACATTAATATCAAAGACAATATTTTGTAGCCGGAAAGTTAAAATCACTTATTTTAATCAGTTATCGATATTCATCAAATATATGGAACAACAAATTATATTGCCATTGCATTTACGTCTCTCATTTTCTAAGAACACAAACAAGTTATTGTCAAAAACTTTACATAAATTAAAATAGCCAAGCGTAATGGGTTCTAAAGATATACAAATTGCGCTGATATTAGGACACATATTATTATGTCAGATAAAGAATATCAAAAGACGAAACTATTGCATTCCCACATACTTTCAAGTAACAATTAAATTGCATTTAGTTTTTTAAGCGAAAAATTATGATACTAAATTACGTATGCTAATAACAACTCTTTTAAATGTTGTTGTTGTTTGTCCGTCAAAATCGAACAGGGACATCGAGTCATCCGGTTAGAGGGGAGGGTGGGTTATGGGGAGCTCGTAGGTGGCTTGTAAGTCCGATCCCTGCTCGGAATAATATCTGGCACCACGGGCAGGGGATAGTTGCTGCAGACGGTAACCTAATGGTGCTCTTTTGGTCTATCCTGCGTGTCTCAGCTGTAGTTATCCTACTTGCTTCATGAGATTCAGCCCTCTTCTTGACAGCTGCTCTCCAAATTGGCTCTCTTCTGGACTTTCTGCACCCATGTAGTAGTGTAGATGCTGAAGACCTTTAGAGTCGCTCTCAATGAGTCTTTGTGCAGCTTTTTTTTAAACCCCTTGGAAGTGCTTGTCTATCGTGAGTTCTCCGAAAAAATATAACACAGCTATTCGGAAAATTATAAATGATTTCTCAAAATACAAGCCAGTTGACATAACCATGTTATTTGCAAATACGATGATTAAAATTTTCCTTTTCGATTTTGACTGAGATTTACGCACTGGCTTCTAATATGTGAAATTAATCTCCTATTTTAATTTTATTGGCTCGTTGTACACAGTGCCTAACAAAGGACGATACCATAGAGTCAACAATTTTAAAGATACGTCACCCAAAACAGTTGCCAGTTACAATTAATTAAGATTTATTAAGTATTAATACAATAACAAAACAAAAGAAATATAAGTATAAATCATTAACTTAAAATATTGTAGATCTTGTACCGGTACACAGTTAATACAATGTGCCAACTAATAATGATGAATGTGAAATAAACACATAAATACACAAATACACAATACACGTCTCGTGAATTTAATAATTATCTATCTGAATCTCCGTCTCTTCATCCGTGCCTGTCAATCCCTTATATAGGTCACGTAATCCCTGCCTTCCAGAAATGACTTATGACGTGTTGTTTACATTTCTCGGGTTATCGAGCACATGCGAGAAAATACCTTGAGAGAGTCTAACATGTTTAATTGGTAAATACGGTTATAAACAAGATACATCAAGCGAATAGGCCACGCCCACAACAGACGCTACTGTCTGCTAGGATTCTAATTTAGGTCAAGTAAAATTCAAGCACGGGGAATGTATGCTACATAACACTGAGAAATGCAATTTTGCATAAAAACATAATAACAAATATTTAAGTTTTTTTCTTAATATTTGCTCCTTGCATCCAAACGTTTTTTAAATTATTTTTTGCTAAATTTTATAATATTTTTTAAAAATGTATTAAAATAACTTTAATTAAATTGAAGCCCCAGTCTATCACAAGCATTGTTTCTCAATCTATAGCACAACAAGCGCTTTTATCTAAATTGTCTAATGCAATATTAAACCACTCTTCTTCCCATTATGTCGCACAGTTTTTCTACAGCCAGGGTGCCACATTTTTATAACAGCTTAGTTATTAGTATTGTTGCCGAATCCTTTTAAAAGCTATGTCGCTTTCACTTTTCCATCCTACCAGGTATTGTGTCACACCATTGTATCCAGCTTGTAGTATCACTCTTCTACGAGCTA